ACGAATCTTCTTGGTCTTTACTCCATAGATGATTGGATTGAGTGCACAAGGGATGGCTACATAGAGGTTGGCAAACAGTATATGGAAAGAGTGAGGAATATTGTGACCAAAACGGTGGGCAAGGACAGAGAATATGGCTGGTGTGTAGAATATAAGAATGACACACACATGGGAACCACATGTGCTTAGGGCCTTCTGGCGAGCATCCCAGGATGGAAGGTTGAAGACTGCACGAAGGATGAGAGTGTAGGAGACACCAATGAGGATCAGGTCTGACGTGACAGTCATGATAGGCACAGCAAAGCCATACCAGATGTTGATGGAGATGTCTGCACAGGCAAGCCGGGCAATGCCTATGTGCTCACAATATGTGTGGGGGATAATGAGGGTTCTACAAAAAGGTAATCGCTTTAATAGGAACACACAGGGGAAGATGATACAAAAGCTCCTGCTGATAATGCCCATTGTTATTTTAGTAACAATCTGACGAGTGAGAATCATGTTATATTGTAGGGGGAAGCAAATAGCCACATAGCGATCAAATGTCATAGCCAACAGGATGGCAGAATCCATGGCAAAACTGAAGTGGAGGAAAAACATCTGAGTAAGACATCCAGCAAAGGCGATTTCTTGGGGACCCAGCCAGAAGATGCTCAATGTTTTGGGTACACACGTATTAGACAGGATGAGATCTGTAGCAGCCAGCATGGCAAGGAAAAAGAACATGGGCTCATGGAGCCTGTGCTCCATGGAAATAAGGTAGAGAAGGATACTGTTGCCTGCAAAGCCCACGAGGTAGATAATAAAGAAGGGAATCCCAATCCACACATGCAACTTCTGCAGTCCTGGGATTCCCAGGAGGATGAATGGGCCTGGATCAAAGCTACTTAAGTTGGATGTGGCCATTAAGTTCATGGATTGAACGTGGTTCATGAACTGGAAATAAAAATTTTACAACTATCATTATAATTATCTACAGTCATCTGCATTAAAGCCTCTCCCTCACTGTCACTTCTAGGAAATAATAAACTAACTCTCTTCTGTTTCCTTTGTCAATAAATATCTGCCAAACTGTCAGTCTCAATTTTAAGTTATAATAGAAGTGGCATTAAAACAATATTTTCTCAGAGATACCAGTCATATAGCTAAATCCAGTTCTGCCTACCTATCAGCAACTGATGAGTTTCCTAAGAAAATGTGGGAACAAAATAATTGCTAAGTCAAAGACTTTTTAATAAAATTCAATGTGGAATCCCAGCCCTGGGGAGCTTGTCTGACTGCTGTATAAGATCACAAGGGGAGGCTCAAAGTATAAAACCTAAGCAAGGCCAGCACCACGGCTCACTTGGCTAATCCTCTGCCTGCAGCACCGGCACACAGGGTTCTAGTCTCGATTGGGGCGCCAGATTCTGTCCTGGTTGCTCCTCTTCCAGTCCAGCTCTCTGCTGTGGCCCGGGAAGGCAGTGGAAGATGGTCCAAGTCCTTGAGCCCTGCACCCGCATGGGAGACCAGGAGGAAGCACCTGGCTCCTGGCTTCGGATCGGCACAGCACTGGTGCCGGCCGTGGCAGCCATTTGGGGGGTGAACCAACGGAGTGGGGAGCACCTTTCTCTCTGTCTCTCTCTCTCTCTTGCTGTCCAACTCTGCCTGTCAAAAAAAAAAAAAAAAAAAACTAAGCAAATCCTTGCTTTCCCCCAATATCTACCCTGATTCTCATAACTGTAAAACGGAAGTCCACCCATGTAAATAGGAGCTAAAGAAATTTCCTCCTTAAATTGCTTAAACTGTAAGGCTTAGGGGGCTGGCATATGTATAGTGGGTCAAGCTGTTGCCTACAGCACAAGCATCACAAGCAGTAGAAGATGGCTCAAGTCCTTGGGCCCCTGCACCCACGTGGGAGACCCAGAAGAAGCTCCTGACTCCTGGTTTGGGATCCAAATGGGGAGTGAACCAGCGGATGGAAGACCTCTCTGTCTCTCCTTCTTGCTCTGTGTAACTCTGACTTTTAAGTAAATAAATAAATCTTTAAAAAATTAATTTTAAGGAATTAATATTTAAGGTTTAGTTGATTTAATCTGCCTCTTCAGATGTTTGTAGGTTGGTGACCTTTCCAAGAAAAGATAGTCCCCAATAACTTAATAGATTGACCCCTGTTGCCAACACTCATAGAAGGTAAATCCTGAGAGGGGGAGCCCCACATAATCAATGGCATTGGTGCCTCTGTCTAATCCATTTAATAATCTGCTCTTGTGGAATTTAATTGAAGAAGTTCAGCCTTTCTTCCAAAACTCTTTTGTGGCATGATACACAACTCATTTATTCCATTCTTCAGGGTGTCTCTCTCCTTTCTCTCTCTCTCTCTCTCTCTCTCTCTCTCTCTCTCTCTCTCTCTTTCCCTCCTCCCAGTAGCCGGGCAGTGTCTGTTGTACTTGCTAAGTGCCTCATGCACTTCTCTGTGTCTCTCATCCTGACTGCCCTTTCCCTGGTCCAAGTCAGGCTTTCTAAAAATATCTGATAGTCAGCAGCAGCGGATTTCATCTATGCTCAAATCTACGTTAAGTTCATTGCATTATCAATAGACTCAGTTAAAAAAGAGGGAAATTCAGAGAAGCCTCAACTAGAATTCTAGGTTTTGGATCCAAAGTTTACTTTGGATTTATCAAGTACCACAAAGTTGTGTGTAAGCTACCTTCTTCACATCCTACAGCCCTTACCAAATATGTACCCAGATGGTATCTAAGAGGAGAAAGAAGAACAAGAGGGGCGGAGCCAAGATGGCGGAATAGTGAGGGCGCGCACCGATAGTCCGGGAAAATTTAGTTTAATAAAAGGGGAGTTACGGTAGCCTCAGAAAAAAGAACCAGGAAAATATTGCAGACAAAACTCTTCTGGATCCAGTGGGCGTGAATCGGAGGACCTACTGGGAGAACAAGGTCGCCCACCGCGCGCGAAAGCCGAGCCGCGGGACTGAGCCGCAGAAGCCGAGCCGCGGGACTGAGCTGCGCAAGCTGCAGGGTCTGCGCGTAAGTGCTCTAAGGGGAGTGCAACAGCGGGGAGACTTGGGACGTCCAGGGCTCTGAGTCCACACATCGGCGCTGGAAGGGGAGCAGACCTGCGTGGAGAGCGTGGGAGCCCACAGTTCGGGACACCAGCGGCAGACTCAACACACCAGCGCTGAAACGCGAGGTGAGCCGAACCTCAATACCCGGAGACACCGGCAGGCAAGC